GGGTTTCTATTTGTTGGGTTTTGGGTGGTGGGGGGGTGGGGGTGGGGGGGGGGGGGGGGGGGGGGGGGGGGTCACGTGTCACTTTTACTGCATGTCAACACTGTAAGCTACATGATTGGTGTGACATACAGGCCATCGCTATACTCCCCACATATACAGGCAAATTATCCATATGTCTTTTAAATTGAGCTGAAAATATACATCATAGATTGAATAATGTATTATTATTACAATATCATACTATGTATAATTCTTGCTCACAATGTGCATCTCAGCTTGCTGCTTGCTTCACTCACACACCTCTGTATATGAGCCACACAGCATAGCTTCACAGCTTCATCACTCTCACCACAACCTTCTCTCTCTGTTAACAACCAGCAAAGGAGCTTGTTCGGCGCAACCGGCAGAGCCGCACCTTTTTGGTGGAAAATGTCGTAGGGGAGCTTTGGTCGGAGCTGGAAGAAGGTAGAGTCTTTCTCTTTTACTCATCTGATGTGATTTCCTTTCCCTCCTCCTTTAGGATCAATGCTCTTGCTGTTTCTTATGCTGCCATATTAGCTACTAGCTTCAGAGGTTAGACTTTGGGAGCATGTTGGTTTTTTTTGGAAACTGCTACTATCTGGAGGTATTCTGTTTCATTGTGGTTGTACCAAAAGTAGTTCCACTCAGCTAAAATTCAATGTACAGAGGCCATGTGTGTCTCTGCTGTACATCCCACTCCTTCAGTTCAGTTTTAAAGTCCTGGAAGCAAAACTACAGTTTATTACAACTTGGCTTATATTTTCTTAGAGCTTGTTATTGGTCGTTGGCAGATGATCAGACAGGTTGAAAACAAACTCCCAGGTTAGTCAAACCTATTTGGTAGAGTAAACAAAGATAAATAGTAAAGTTATAATGCAAACTGTTTGTTAACATCCATCACAGTTTACAGACTTACTGTACTTACTATAGTTGTGCACAAACAGTTTTCACGTGCAGTGGGGGATCTCACATTTACATGATCTGGATAAATGTTGATGTCTGATCATCTGACTGCTTGTCTGTTGCCATGTGGGACTTCATTGTGCTGATCTCAGCAATTACGTTGTACAGCGTACAATGTTATCAATACTCGTAGAAATGATGGCCAGATGACAGAAGCAAGAAATCAAAATGAGCAGTTAGATAAATGAGACTTGGATTATACAGCAGCGCCATTTAATTCACCGTGGAGGCTTGAAAAGAACCAGTGTTCTTCAAGACTTTACGGATTTGTGGATGAAGAATACTTCTAACATGTATCGATCATATCTAGTATGACTATAAGTCATTTTTTTAAAAAGATTAAATTATATGACGTACAGCATTGATATATTTTTAAAGAGCTTTGCAAATCATAGAAAAGAAAATGTTTTCCAGAAGGGAAGAATTTATAGTTTATATTTTGGGATTTCAAGATTGCACTGAGAAAATTCACTGCTAACATCAGTTGGCTGGACCGCTGTAGCTCAGTGAACAGCTTCAATTTTTACCTGCGACAGCTGACGTTAGTCTGTGAGATGGACATGTAAGCACAGTTACTGTACTGTTTCACTTTGTCTCTCCATGACAGACTGTTGGCTCTGCTGTCAGTCAAACAATCAAACAATGCTTAAAATGTGTGTGAATCATCTAATGTCCAGACTGTCAGCTCCTGTCCACCATCTTGTCTTTGCTAAAGCTACTCCTGAGTCCCACTCTTTCCGTCAGCAGATTTCTCTTCTTTCATCACCTCATCACTGGGCTGCTTACACCGAAGTGTGGCCTAGTTCAAGAAGCTGACGTGTCATGAAGAGTCACGTCCAGCCTCCCCTGAGAATGTTCCTAATAACATCAAACAGAGTAGTGGTAGATAAGAGGCAGCTACATGTCAGAGCAATGAGTCCTGTCAGGCAGGATGCGGTTAGATAACAAGCATTTTAGATACTGACATTATACATCCATTATTCTCTGTGCAGGTGACCGTTATGTGGTGGTGGACTGTGGCGGAGGAACAGTGGACCTGACTGTTCATCAGATCCGCCTTCCAGAGGGACATCTAAAAGAGCTCTACAAGGCCTCAGGTAAAGGGGCATAACATACCATCATGTATCTGCTTTATGCAGCTATGGTCTTATCTCATTTGATTTGATTCACAATCACAATCCCTTTTCTTCCCAGGTGGTCCCTACGGCTCCCTCGGCATTGACTATGAATTTGAGAAGCTACTGTGTAAGATCTTTGGCCAGGATTTCATTGACCAATTTAAGATCAAGAGGCCGGCCGCCTGGGTGGACCTGATGATTGCCTTTGAGTCTCGGAAGAGGGCAGCAGCCCCTGACAGAACCAACCCCCTCAATATTAACCTTCCCTTCTCCTTTATTGACTACTACAAGAAGTTCCGGGGCCACAGTGTGGAACACGCCCTGCGCAAAAGCAAGTGAGTCCATACAGAACAACCAGGGACCAACCCTGACATATTGGAATGAGTGTCTGTATCACCCTGAACAGGAATACATGGTATAAGATAAGATGAAGCCTGAATTATCTTTCAAAGCTGCTTGATTTTTATTGACAACATACAGCTTTGTCTGTGATGTCATAGCTCAACACTCGTAGGTCCCTACCTTTGCCTGCCACCTGGCTCACAATGCACCGGACCCCGAATACCAATCCCTGCTTCTGTTGTGATCCCTGCTGTGCCCGGCCGATGTGCATGGCCTGGCCACAGGACGCTCGCCAACGAGCTCCCCTTTCAGGTCTGGCTTCATAAGGGGGCAATGTTCTCCCTTTTCTGGGCCACGTTGCGACAACTCTTTTCTGGCCGATTTGTATAGGGTCAGTGAACCCCTCTTAGTCTGGCCCATACCCTCGGACCACTTTGCCTTGGGAGACCCAACCAGGAGCTATTGCCCTGACAAAACAGCTCCCAGGGTCACTGGGGCACACAAACCCTTAAGGTTAAGGTGCCCTGCCCTAAGCGAGGGCGTTCAAGTATCTCGGCGTCTTGTTCACGAGTGAGTAGAGCAGGTGCTCCTTGCGTCGAAGGGGGCCAGCTCAGGTGGTTGGGGCAGCTATTCAGGATGCCTCCTGGATGCCTCCCTTTATAGGTTTTGTCCAAATGGTAAGAGGCCATGGGGTAGACCCAGAACACGCTTGGAGGCACTATATATCTCGTCTGGCCTGGGACGCCTCGGATTCCCTAGGAAGAGCTGGAAAGCATTGCTGGGGCAAGGAACGTCTGCGCCTCTGCGACCTGGCCATAAGTGGAAGATGATGGATGGATGTTTTTTCTGGATCATAAAGAGCTTGTATATTAATTAAGCCCTATAAAAGATGGGACGCCATTATCAGCTGTAAGCCTTGAGCTAACCAGTAGGTCACACTCTTAGCAGTAACATAGCCGGATCTGTCATCAAAGCAGAGAGAAGCTCTGATAACAACACACACAGAGGGAGAGGCACTTCCTTCTCTGCTCAGGTAGACATTACTCCTCTATATCTTTACATAGATAATAATAGTTTGATTAATCCTGTGAATAGAACATTATCTCAAATATTTTTGAAGAATAACATGTGGTCAATATTCACTGATCTACTCCAGAGGAGTTTAGTGTAGATAGTTAGTCGACTCATTGCTGAGCTTTTTTCACAATGACATCTGTATTTTCACTAAATCTTCCATCAAACACAGTTCCAAAGCATTTGTAGGTCTGGACAACTTCAACACTTGCAAGCAAATGATTGTCGGTTCCATCCCCGGCTCCTCTAGTCCACGTCGATGTGTCCTTGAGCAAGACACTTAACCCCGAAATGCTCCAGCAGGCTGTGTCTGCGGTGCATGAATGGGTGTATGATGACATGCTAACATATTACTTTCACCCTCCATCCTTTCACCACATTATGGTATCTTATATAGTTGTATTGAATGATAGTAGTAATACAGGTGTGAACAACACTTTGTCTACAAACACGGTTTCTGCTTTAGAAGAATGGGTTGTGCTGATCGGACTTTTCAGAAGCCATTACCAGTGGTTGTCTGATGACAGATGTTTTGTCTACAAGGTGTGGCAACATTATGTTTATGCATATGTACAAAGCAGAGTCGACAGGCAGCTTGTAAAAACTCGCTACTGATTTGATGACAGAAGAGTATCAGAACCCAGTGTTAGACAGAGAAGATGCAACTTTTCACTTTCAGCCATTAGAGTACCATCATCTCTGAGACCACCATGGAGTCTAGATTTTAATGGCCGTGTCTCATGTCTGTGTATGTTTTCATAATCCCCCAGTGAGGGACATTAAAATACTTATATGGCTGAAACTGGAGCCCTCACTGCCCCCTAGGCTCCTCTGACGCCTAACTGGAAGTACTCAGTCTGTCTCATTGTGAGGGAAAGTCGTGAACACTATCACACACTTACATCTGCACACACTGTGCATGAATCACACACATGGGATCCCAGCAGATGGATCCTATGGATTCTTTCAGGATCAATGGTTCCACAGTCGGACTGCATCAGGCATGGAGACATGCACTCGTAGGCCTCAAGAGACAGGACTGAGGGAAATAGTCCATGAAAGCACCGCGCCGACACACACGACAGGGCTATCCGTCTGAATATAACTCGGAAGAATTTATATTAATGCATAACGAATAATGTGGGATTACTATTCCTTATTTCATGGGCTATTTTTGATTTTTTGGGGGTAATGCAAATATTTATAAAACAACGACAAAAGAAAAAGAATGCATTTGAATACTGATTGGGAGGGTGGAAGTCAGCTCTAGCTGGTGTCACCTTGTATTGCAGCCTCTGCCATCAGTGTGTTAGCGGGTGAATGACATGACTCGCTTTGAGAGGTCAGCAGATGAGAAAGGAGCTTCACAAATGCAGGTCCATGTATCTCTGGCCCCCGTGAACTACCTGTGCCCATGCAGGACAGACTTCTGTGAGCATGTTAGCATGTTGATGTTAGCATGTAGCTCAAAGCACTGCTGTGCCTACGTACAGCCTCACAAAGCTGCTAGCTGTTATGGCAGTAGACTCTTTGTCTTGTTGTTGGGCTCATGTGGCCAGATCCCATCAGGTGAATGATCAAAGGTCACAATTTAAAATGTTAGATCAAATGTTCCAACATTTTTTGTTGATTCCACTGCACTTCAGTTAGCTCAGGTCATAAGATCTGGATCCCCAGCTGGTGCAGCCTTCGATTTCCATTTCTGAATCAAAAATAATCAATACTTGTTATCCGAGTTAAACGGTTGATTCAGCAGCTCATTATCTCGTTTGTAGAAAACACTGTTGGGTTAGAAACTGTTGCAGATAACACTGAACCACAATTCAACAGTATGGTTTGGTGACTTTCACTGGAACAGTATCACATGACCAGTGCGCTACTTTTGTACAAGATTCTAAGCAGATTTTAACTGAAGACTGTGTGAAGAGAATTGTAAGAGTGTGATTTTTTTCTTCTTCTGTAAAATATTGTAGTATTGCTTTTGATCATATCACCCAACTGCAGATGAAGTCATTCATACTCATTCTTATATTCATATCCTCTCACATCCTCTCCTAGTGTGGATTTCGTGAAATGGTCGTCTCAGGGGATGCTGAGGATGAGTCCAGAAGCTATGAATTCCCTCTTCAAGTCCACCATAGACCACATCATCCAGCACCTCAGTAAGCTGCCTTGTAACACCTCGACACACACACACACACACACACACACACACACACACACACACACACACACGCACACACACATCTGTCACCTTTGTGGTCAAACAAGTCTTTTGCAGCAAATGAAATGGTGTTTGTGCAAACAGACAATGTGGAGATATAGCTAGTAGTCATTGTGTCTTATTATGTGTTATTTTATTGTCATTGTACCATGTAGTGTAGTTAACTTCACAACTGTCACAAGGCACTGCAGATAGTTTAGTGAGTGATTCATTTACAGCCTAGCATTTCTAGCGTAACCCTGCAGTGAGGACCAACATCCAAGTGTGCTGCAGAAGTGACACACTTTGCTTCATGTAGAGAAAAAGCAGACAAAGCAATGTCTTAAGCCTTAGTCGTCTTCGACAACAAGGGACTGTCCAGATTCCAGATGGCAGTCACCAACAAATGAAGTGGTTTAAGTTGTTTACCAACTGTTTAATAATCTCACTGCCTGCATTTCTCGCTGTACTGACAATATGATCCACGCGGGGACAAGTAACTTCACCCAGGCTCATGATCTGAGCCCTGCCAGCTGGTGCTGACAGCATGCCTTTTCTCCTCCTGACACACCATGCTGTGAGGTTGCTGTGTCAGAGGCTCAACAGACTTAGAGGCCCGTGCAGCTACGTTTTACTACTTCTAAAGTCTGGTGTGGACTTTCAATTGGAGATCTATTCACGAGAATCTGCTAATTCAAACCAAGACAGTATCAACATCCCACAGTGACTATTACACATGAAATGTGCATCAGGGCACATCCATGGACAACAACAACAACAACTGAAATACATCACTAATAGACACTCATATTGCATGTACTCCTTCCTGTAACAGTCCGTTGTTGTCTTCATTGAGATTCTGTTTTTCTCCTGCAGCTGAGCTGTTTGAGAAGCCGGAGGTGAGCAACATCAAGTTCCTGTTCTTAGTGGGAGGTTTTGCTGAGTCTTCCCTACTGCAGCTAGCTGTCCAGGATATGCTCCAGGGCCGCAGCCGCATCATCATTCCCCATGACGTCGGCCTCACCATTCTAAAAGGTGCTGTGCTGTTCGGCCTGGACCCCAGCATCATTAACGTCCGCCGCTCGCCTCTAACATACGGGGTGGGCGTCCTCAATCGCTTCGTGGAGGGCAAGCACCCGCCGGAGAAGCTGCTGGTGAAGGACGGCACTCGCTGGTGCACCGATGTCTTCGACACCTTCATTGCTGCCGACCAGTCTGTGGCGCTGGGTGAGATGGTGAAGCGAAGCTACACCCCGGCCAAGCCCGCTCAGCAGGTCATCGTCATTCACGTCTACTGCTCTGAGAAGGAGAAAGCAGGGTTCATCAGCGAGCCCGGCGTCAGGAAGTGTGGGACACTTCGCCTGGATGTGAGCGGAACGGAGAGCACGGCGCCGCGCCGCGAGATCCAGACGCTCATGCAGTTTGGTGACACAGAGATTCGGGCCATGGCAGTGGACGTGTCCACCGGACGCACCGTTAAAGCTAGCATTGACTTCCTAAGCCATTAAGAAGGGAACGAAAGAGCTAATGTTGTAATTGTTGGAACAAAGGGAGATGGAAAGATAAGGCTTGCAACACACACATACATACACACGCACACACACACACACACACACACACACACACACACAGGCTCGTGATATTTACTGGAAAGCGGTTATTGATGATGAATCTCAAGGCTCAGTCACTCTCAGTTTAAAGTGTTTTGAACGGCTTGAATGTAGAATCCATGTTAGGACAAGGTAAAGATGAGTTCATTGTGTTCTAGGTCCCACCTTGTAGTCTAGCTGCCGAGGAGCTCCATAGTGTTCACACACTCATATCCAACCCATAGGCTACATAGGCTGAGGCTACAGCTACAGGTGGGAGAGCTCCAGACAGGAAAGATAAAGGCTTATTCACGTCTCAGCCATAATGTATTACGGGACAGCTTTCAGATCTTCTCTCTGAGCATTCTCAAAGCCAGAAAAAAAGACATAAAGTCAAATACTAATATGTTGGCTCCACATTCAGAATGCATCTCTATATGCCTCACTTTCTGTCAGATTACAGCCGATCATTGCATATCTGTGCACTACAAAACGTTTTGTGTATAAATAGGTCGTACTAACATGTCATCAGGTTGGGTGGAAGATGTTAACACTCTTCATGTGCTTCAAAGATGACATCAGCTCCCCTTCACTAGAGTTCTGAAGGTCATACCAGTGGTTTTGCATGATTCAACCCTTTAAACCGTTGATGCGTCACACTGATGCCAGCCCTTTTCCAAAATGTTATTTCCATAGATTTGCTTTATTCCAGAAAGCCTTTAGTAATACTAGTGATCCACTGCAGTGAACATGTGGTCAGCTTCATTTCTTCAGAGTTATGTTATCATTGCATGGTGGTGCATTAGGGAAGCTGGACATGTGTCCGTGGTAGAGGCGGGGTGAGGTCAGTTTGTCTCAGCCTCAAAGCCGACAGCAGTTTACCAAATCCTAAAGATACACAACCAATAACGCTAAAGACTTGTTCGTAATAAGGAACTACTAGCCTAACAAGCTCTGCATGCCTGTGGATGAAGATGGGAACAAGCTGTAAATAACTAAAGTGGACATATGGTTAACGTGTTCACATCCAGGCAGACAATAGCAGAACCGACCGTAACAATGTGGCTTTTTACCCATTTAGAGTCTTCATTCACAGCCAGGTTTAGTTGGGCATCCTTACTTGACCTACTTACAGTCAGATGCGATTACGATATTGATACGTTTCCAAATGACAGTCCAGTTTCACTCTGTGAATAATGTCAAGTACATGTGATTTTTAATAAATAGGCCAAATCATGCAAAACTACCAGTATGTTCCTTAAAGGTCATCCACAGTTAAAGCTGAATCCAAGAATGTGAAACGTGTTGCAAGCTCAAATGCGCTTAATTGTTGCCTTTATTTCTTTATGCTTCTGACTATTAGATTAGTGGACAGAAAGCCACTTGAGTAGTTAGAATCCAGGTGTGATTCTGCACAAAGGTGCAGGCCGGTTGATAGACAAACAATGAAGTATGTTTATTTCTGTAAATACAGTATTTAAATATTGTACAGATTTTTTTAGCATTGTTTCTGCAGCTTTAGAACCAATAGAGTGTGTGTGTGTGTGTGTGTCCATCGGGTTGTGTTTGTGTGCTTTCACATGAACATCTCTCGAAAGAATATTTCTCACCAGCCATAGCACGAGAGGCCGAGGCAGGTTTGGATGCTCCGTTCTTTCACAGTGAGACATTGTGTGTCGCCTGTTCATGTCTTTTTCGCAGTCACAAAAGAAACTTGAATACCTCCGTCCTTAAAAGACCTTTTCAATTTTGACATGACAACAGTATCTAAATGTGTCTGGTCCCCTTTTCCATCCCACCTGCATCGCTGCAGGAGAGTACGTTCTGTCAGAAATTCATAATGATTTATTACATAATCAGTGGATAAATATTAAGACAATATGTTTCCACCCTACTGCGAAGAGACATTTTATTCTGAAATTGTTGTTGCTTTGTTAAAGACTGAGGCATAGTCAGCATTAAAGTCAGCATTATTACCATGTGATTATGACGTTTTAAAGACTTAAAAAGAGAGTAAAAAGAGTGCCTATATGAATAAAATGTGATGTCGACCCTATCAGAGCTTTATAATGCGTGATGCAAACACTGATGTGAATTCTTCAAAGGCCTTTGCCACGTGTACATGTTCAATGTGTTAGCCGAACATCCTCGTGGTAGAATTAAAGGGGCATTGCTGTGTCTGTATCCATCTCTGCTGGCCGCCAGCAGAAGCAACAGTAGTGATGATGTACAGAAGTGACCACATCAAGCAGTGGCTACATCTGGTCGTGGCTAGTTTAATCCATGGCTACATGCTCTGGAGGGCTGGGTATCAATGCCCGTACCAAACCCAGTACCCTTAAGGTGACCGATACCAGTAGAGTACTACATTCTATACCCGTCATGTGACTGGAAGCTGTGGGAGTGTACCTCTGGTCACACTGCACAGTGTAATGCTGACAGCGCCGTCCCACGATCGACGGCAGCGGCACCGCGTGGTGATGGAAGACAGTCCCACCCGATCTATCCTGTAAGCAAAACCATGCAAACAGTCCCCTTTCTCTAGATCTGGGAACAAAGAGGATCGATGTTCCGATACTACTTGGTACTGGGTCATTTCGGTCGATACCGTAGAGGAATCCAGTACTGATACCCAGCCTTAATGCTCATTCCACAGCAGGGAACGTAAGCTAATATGATAGCTTCCTCCATTTTGATCAACAGTCAAAACAGTTATCTATTGTCAAACGTTCAAATGTATGTGTGAGGGTCAAAGTGTGCTTCAAAGTAACTACAGTCGGCCACATCCTCCTCCAGCTGGCCTCTGTAGTCTCAATGCAGGAGCCAGTGTTGGCTCACTCTCTCCCTAAAGTCCTTTATGGTGGAACTGAAGTAGCAATGCAACTAATTGCTGCATCAAGGTGGTGTTAGGGTCGGATTGTCTGTTCAGGAAAGTGATAAAATTGCTTTTTGACTGAATGAAAAGCACTTAGTTTGAAGCATACTAAGACCATCAGAGTTCAGGTTGAACTTGACACGAAAGCGCTGCGCAAATGTTCTTTGCCATGAGTGAACCCACTGATTGGTCCAGTGTGACGGGGGGCTTACACCTGCTACAGCGCGTTAGCGAGCAAAGTTTCATTCACTTGGTACAGAATGCTGCCTGCTGTGGGCAGTTGAGTGCTTCCAGTTCAATGCTGAAGACCATGAGTGTCACCATAGCCAAACACAGTTCAAGGAGGCAGATGTTGTTCAGAAGACTCTGAGCTAGCTGATTAGCGTGGAGCTAGACACAAAACATCCCGTAAAGAGGCAACACATCGCTGTGATGAGTACTGGAGAACAATAAACCTGTCGATGGTTTGATCGTTTGGCTCAAGAAAAACGCCACGTCATGTTTTGAGTCACTGGCATCGACCAGCAGCCTCCACGGGTGTATTAATGCTTTTGAGCTATATGTTTCCAGGATGGCGATATCGTGATGATACCATCTAATAGCAAAGTTTTCAAGCCATTTTCTTGGATTCTCTATTTGAACTGTAAATCAAGGCTCATCTCACTTTTCAGTGTCAATGTACAAAGTCGCACACGATGCTGTCTTCAGCACTCTTTCTGTAATGCATGGTTTGCATGCATGCGTCACATAGGAATGACTAAACTACAACAGACAATTAGTTGATTGCTATTACTAATGCACACACTCAAGGTTAACCACTGATGATGATGGTGATGGTGTTTCTGCCTGTGTGCTGCTCAGCCTCTCACAGTGCTGGTTCCTTGCTGCTTGCTGAGCTGATGTTGATGTTAATGCTCATAACTTCCATAGCAGAGCAGCACTTCACATACTTTACTGATAACTAACCTAATAATATTTTATTCCTTCTACACATCTCTGTAGTCACAGAGGATGGATATCAAGAGTTTCATTCTGTGGTCAGATAATTACAATGTAATGCAGCCTTGAGTACTATGTGGTGCACAGGACACTGTTATGTAGCAGCATTATGCGTATGATAAAATGGTATGAAGACTTGTTGAGCTGACATTAGTCTACTATTCTCAGCATGTAAGACATTTTGGCTTAGATGTCAAAGTTTGGGTCAATCAGTCAGAAAGGAAGTGGTTGAGTGGTCGAGCCAGCTTGCATCATGTACAAGTATCTGCTTAATACTATCTAAAATATACAATCATTCAGAATATGTTACTGCTGGAATGATTGAGCTTATAGTTAGGATCATCTCAGCCACTCTGAAATGCAACACATCTACACGTTGTTCTTTTACTTCTTGATGATGCAAAGGATGTTTTTTCTTTATCTTGAGTTACTTAAATGTCTTGTTCTCTTGCATTTTCACACAGTTATGGGTGTATATCGATCAATTCACTGTCAAGACTGTCAACAATAAAATGTAAGTGTATTTCAAAGAACATTCATCTTGTGTAGCGTCTGCTCATTTAATCTGGGTTCTTTACTGTAATTGCAATGCGGAGGCCCAAACCCAAGTCCACACAAAGTTAGGCAAGGAAGAACATTTAGTGATGCTGTCCTGCCCCGCCATAGCCAGGACTCTACAAATACTGCAGTCATGAATCTCAAATTAACTTCAATAAACTGACAACACACTGAAAGCGGACCACTCCCAGACTAGAAAACACAGTGGTAGAGACCTGTCAATCACCGTGTAGCCCCGCCCTAAAGCATCCCCTGCTTTATGGTCTGTGTGACTCTAAATGGACCATAATGTACTAAATGAACATCATGCTGTATTGAAGAAGACTTGAAACTAGAGATTGAGACCATAAATTGATGTTTACAATGTTTACTGAGGTAATAAATCAAGAGAGAAGTAGAGTCATTTTCTCATAGACTTCTATACAACCAGAGGAGTCGCCCCCTGGTGGACAGTAGAGATAATGCAGCTTTAAGACACTTCAGTATCTGCCTCACTTTTCAGACCTGGAGGTTGCCGCCTGGAGAAGACATCTAAACGTCAGTCTTTAGGATTTATCTGACAAACCATTGGCAAAATAAAACACACAAGAGAACAGGTCGAACGAGTACAATACAATTGATGCCAGTATTTTCATCAAAGAACACAGAAACAACATGAAAGAAATTGCGTATATGTATATTTCAGTCCGTCCTTACCATATAGACGCCTCTGGAACCAAATTCAGACGGCAGCTAAATTTGGGACTGTAATCTGAAACTTCTTTTGTTTTGTCTTGCAAGAGAGTATTCCATTTTCTCTTGTTTTTTCTCTCAAACATGTAACACTTTAATCTCATAGAATATCAACTCAGATTTTTTTTTCTTGTACATTTAAGACTTTAATCTCTTTTTCTATGAATATTACCCCCATCCCCCCGGCTCTATCATTTTGTTGTTATTTTAGTTGTTTTTTTACCTACAAAAGCCCTAATTTACCTTTCATAAAATCCTCCCTCCCCAGAAAAATCTGACTTAAAACAATGAAGTTTTAAAATGTATAAATGATTCTATCTATCTATATATATATCTATATATCTATATATCTATATCTATCTATCTATCTATCTATCTATCTATCTAGATAGATAGATATATTTGAGTTCAGTTAACGTCTCAGTTAAAACGTATACATTATATTTGAAGACCGTTCATCTGCAACCATTTTCATGAGCAAAACAGTCCTGACAATCCGTTTAGTTTGTAAACGGTTATTTTGATACAAGAAAAAGGAGAATTTTCTCGACCAATAAACAAAAAAAATCCCCAAATACATGTTTTCATTGGACAGCAACTCTGCACACTGGGGAGGAAATAATAAATGCTTTATTTTGTTTGTTGGCCAAAAGAATTACGCAAATACTGAATGAAAATATACATTTTCATTCAGTATTTGTATAATTTTTGGATAGAATGTACATCTAATGCTCCCTCTATGTATCTAAAGCCTGCAACCCCAGAAAAGACATGACCTCAGTTTCCTCTGTGGAAGTTACAGAACTTCTTACATGAAGGATTGTAACAAATCTAGAAATGATGGCGGTTCAATTTTGTTGAAATGGTTGGTCATTAACAAATATGCAAAAAGCAAAGAGAGAATCCTGGATTACACAATAATTCAACTGTGATTTATGGACTGAAGTCATATGAGGCAACACTGACACCAAGTGGATTCAGGGAGGAATGAAATTCAGAGATGAGGTCAATTACTTGTATCAGTCTAAGAGTGGGCCTCAGTGGAGAGAAGTGATAGTCTACCCAATCTTTTATGACTTTTATGAGAAATTAGGCACACCTATATCTAACAATCTAATTGATCCATTATGTATTTATCAGAAGTCCTTTTATTGCTCCTTTTTAAAATAGAAGAAGAGATGCGGTAGCCTGTTAGCAAGACATTTTAAATGTTTACATTCTTGCCATTAAAACATTTTTATAGTAGACAATGCCTGTGATTCAATTGTAATGAATTTCCGGAGTTTGTTATCACTTCATTACATTTAAGGAGATCTTCTTTGATGTCCCATTGGCAGCCATATTGGAAACTCTTGGACCCTTTTGGACAACAGCTGCATGAATGAGTGTCTCATTGCTAAACTGTACAACATCTCAACAGAGCTTAATAAAGCAGTTTGCCTCTTTGTTCGTTAGCAAAAAACACTTCCTAAATAACGGCAGTCGTGTTAACAACTCTTTACATAGCCGGCATTAGTAGTGGCTAGCAGCGTGTTAGCATTAGCTACAGTCCATCATGTTACGAGCTAAATGAAAATGGAAACCTACTGTTTGTTGAGATTAATGGTCAAGCTAAATCTGACACTTATTTTGAAATAGAAGAACATTTTCAATGAAGGATTACAGGTACTCTGGTCCTCTGTTATTCCTACCTGGTAATTCAATTAGACACCATTTACACACAGCCAGTTCTCTATTGGATCAGTTACTAAGGATGGTGCCAGACATGGCTCCAAGTAGAGTTGTGACTTCACTGCAAAGTTTCTAAGTAATTCAAAAAAAAAAGTAACTCCTTTTGTTGTTTTCTACAAAAACTCCCATACAGGAACACTTTTCCATTAAACCCAGTATTTTTTCTCTTAGGTCCCCTCAAACACCCCACCAGTGATTCAGCCGGTGGAATATGAAACTAAACATAGGCACTTATTCAGCAACCAGAATACATTTACGCAGTGAGTGTATTATTCTTACAGAAGTGGCGCTAGAGAGCCACTCAACCCTTTAACAGGGCAAGGTTGTTTTTAGCTTGGATGTGGTGTGTGTGTGTGTGTGTGTGAGTGAGAGGGTTAGGGGAAGGGGAAGGGGACTGTGAGACAGGGTGAGAGGGTTGAATAGGTGTGGCCGATTTCCCTCAAATAGCTATGAAGTAGAGTCGTTGCTACGGCAATCTGAAGGGACCCAAACTCTCCAAGTGGCCCTTTAGTCGCCGGCTCGGCTGCCCTCCCACATGCACGCTCTCTTCCAGTTAATGGCAGGGTTCAGAGCTACATGACTAGCCAATGAAATCATGGAACGATAACAGGGGGCTTGACACACTTTGTGCTTGTTAAAGCTTCACTTGGTGGAAAACAGACAGAATGTAAGTTCATTAGAGTTTGTTTGTTTGAATTGAATATTTGTGTAACCTTCTTAAGTGTTCAGGTGTAAAGGTACGCCTGAACACTTAACATGCACACACACCCACACCCTCACCCACCCACACACATTGAGGCTGGTGTTGACTAAATGAGGCAGACTGAGGGCAGCAGTATACTCCAAACTAACTTTGGTGTGTTCTCAGACTGAGTATGGTGAAAGCCCACTGCAGCTCCACTTCTATTTAATGGTGTTCACCTTGTCAGAGAAGCTTGCCCGTCACAGGCCTGACTTCCAGGTTCACCAAAACAATAAGTGAACATACATCACTCCACTATGTCTTCACATCACTAATAGTCGCCTAGTTATTTGATTCTATATCAATACTCTGAATATCGAATTTAGTACCTTTAAAGGTGTAAGATACAGAATTGGGAGCATTTCAATTGCCTCTCAACATGGCAACGTGGAGCCAGCGGCTCATAGCCAACGGTGCAAACAGCTCTAACAGTGCCAACGAGGGCGAACGTGCTGACAGAGCTACCAGTGGTTACCTGAGGGGGAACTGGAGGGTGGGCGCTACGCTTACGTGGTGATGCAGACGGTCAGGAAGGCGTTATTAGCTGTAACCGCCGTATGAGAGCAGTGCAGAGCTGCAGCCGTGACCTAACCAAGAGAACAAAGAACATAGAGAAGCTCTACACACACAGACGGAGAGAGACTTCATTCTCTGCTCAGCTAGTCATTACTCCTCTGTATCTAGTTGTGTCTTAGTTGCCCTGACCTCACCCTGTAGTTTCCACAAATAGATATTGTAGAAAAAAACATTTTACTTTAGTTTAGTGTTATTTATTCCTGCTTTTATTTTGTAGGATCACTCACCCCTTTGTTTGTTTTCCTGCCTTTGTAGATTGTCTGCTGCGCCCTGATTAGTTTCACCTGTCTGCCGTCACCAGACCTCCTTGTCCCCTGTTCCCACTTCCCCAGTAGTGACGACATAATCCAGCCTAGTTCCTTTGTTCTTTGTGGATCTGTCTTCCTTTATGTTTGGAGTTCTGTACTCGTTTGCCAATGTTCCGTTTGGGTCCATCCCCTGCTGCCTGTCTTCAGACCGTGACACAGAGATAGGACCTGGGCAGCCGGAGTGAGCAGCTGTTCTACCTTCCTGTTCACCATAATAAATTCCTTTGTACACTCTCACATTTCTGCTGAATCAATTTATTATGAAGGTCAAACAATATTGTGGTATTCAAAATAGTTTTACTATGGAGATCAAATAGACTTAACCTTTCTTCATGTGGCAGCTTCTGGAAGATGCTGAACAACTGAAATGGCCAAAACTCTTTGGTAGCTTACTGTTTCTCTCTGGTCCTCTCAGCATTGTCTCTCATATTATAATAATGTAACATTCCTGTTACGTCCTTGTTATTGGACATTTATTTCTTACTTTTCCTCAACGTAGCAACGTGTATGTGAATTCTTTACCTCCCTGCTCATGCACAATTGTTCTTGGCAACAATACAATGCAGCTAACGGCCAGGGGTTAAGTTTGTTGTGCAAGCTTTCCCCAGGGGAGCTATTTTTCTCTTGCCACCTACATCCATACCTCACTAATTCATGACCTGTCTATAAATGCTTTGTTAGTAACAATGCCACCCCCGAAGCTACTGGCTTAAAGATCAGAGAAAGAAGCGCTGTCATTCGCAAATTTCTTTTGACAAACACACATAATTACAGGAATTAGCCCGCTATTTTGTCATTAGCCTTCACTTTCAATGAGCCAATAATGAAAAGAGAAACAAGAGTCAGAGACAAAGACGGATGTCTTCGGAGGATTTCAAGACACTTTCTCCCC